AAAAAAAAAAAAAAAAAGATATCTTGACAGTGTCAATTAAATATCAGGAACTCTTAAATGAGAGTACAGATAAAATTTCATTTCTTCCATGATGTCATTGGTGTCTGGGAAGCACTGAAACCACTTCAGATAGAACTGTTTGTTTATTTATAAGTGCTTGTCTGTAATATACAGACAAAAACTTACAATGAGATCATTGTGTCTTCCAAATTGCTATTTAGAATAAATTACCAGTTGTAAAGAAGCAATCAGATAAAGCATTTAGACTTTTTAAAATATTCCAACTGAAACATTTCTTTCACTTAGTTCCTAATTTTTTGGAGTTGTCTTAACTAAGACAAATTTCAAAATATGAATATTGTACTAAAAAATGCTATTTCAGCAGTTTCTTTAGCCTAAATCAATAGCACTAAGATTTATCAACTCCTTTCTAGAGATGCTGTAGTTTTAGCTCTTACATTGAAGTCTGTTGTTCATTTCAAGGTAGGTTTTGTATATGTTGTGAGGAAAGAGTTGAAGTTTTGAGGTTTTTTGGTATGTGGTTATCCCATTGTTACAGTACCATTTGCTGAAGGTATTCATTATAGCTTTCCTTCAGCTTTCTTGAGTAACCTTTTTCTTTATCATTTGAGCAGTGTATTTCTTATGTAAGGAATTGTTCTCTAAAGCGAGGTCATAGAAGACATAAATTGCAGAGTTAAGAGATGAGAGCAGGGTCTGTGGAGTCAGATTGCATGCCTAAGTTTGAATCCTGTCTCCAGCACTTACTATCTGCGTGACTTTAAGCAAGTTATTTAGTGGCTCTGGGTCTCAGTTTCCTCATCTGTAAAATGAAACGAAGAAGAGTCTGTACCTCAGAGGTTATCACGAGAATTAAAGGAAATGTAATACAATTCATGCCTGGCACAGAGGCTGTGTATGGTAGTGGTGGGGGTTATCATTATCAACATTATTACGTTTAAAGAAAAATTTTTATTTGAACATTCTGGTTATATAACTTCTAGGATTTTTCTTAGAAATTCTGTGATTTATGTTAAGTATCATGGTATGGCCTACAGATGACTTGTTTTTATGAAAATAAGATTATCAAATTATTAAAGTACTGTTTAATGTTCCTTTATTTTGTAGCTAGTGGTGGTTGGCAGGAACCTGAAAATCCTCACAACCAACGGGTAAGTAAAGGGTCATCAGAGGGGATAAAATAGTAAAAGACTGGAGATCTTCCATTTTGTTGGTGAATATGGCTTATTCTTAGTAGTCCATGTTGTGTATTTTGGTATCTTTTATACACAGAAAGTGCTTCTCATTGTAAGACATTAAATCACAATGTCACTTTGTTCCATTTGACTTAAGATAATGGAGAAAAGTAGGTGTAAGAGGCCAGGCATGGTGGTTCATGCCTATAATGCCAAAATTCTGGGAGGCCAAGGCGGGTGGATTGCCTGAGCTGACAGGTTTGAGACCAGCCTGAGGATGAGTGAGACCCTGTCTCTAAAAAAATAGCCGGATGTTATGACAGGCGCCTAAAGTCCCAGCTACTTGGGAGGCGAAGGCAAGAGAATCACTTGAGCCCAGGAATTTAAAGTTGCTATGAACTGTGACGCCATGGCACTCTACCCAGGGCAACAAAGTAAGACTTTGTCTCAAAAAAAAGAAAGAAAGAAAAAAGTAACAGAAACATACGTGTAGTCTTAGTTTTGTATTAGAGTTATGTGTCAGCAAGAGGAAACAAGATAGTGTTTGCTTTTTCTTCACACACCCATCAATAAGTTGTGGTTCCATTAATTCTCAAATACTCTTGGGAATATCATAAACATGTAGACATTTTAATCCCTGGAAATACCATTAGTTTGGAAGATGTCTTTGGACACAGTAGTGGTTGCTTAGAGGATTATGACTTGGGCATCCTTTAGCAGTTCATAGTGAATTGATCTCTGATGTTTGCATTATAGTGGATATTTTTACCCCTTGAACTAGAATTTGAGAAAGATGATAAACTGCTATAGAAATATAGTATATACTGTCAGTTAAAGTACAGATTAAAAAGTAATTTATAGTTATTTGTCTGTAAAGTCAGCAAAACTTATAAATACTGAAAATATCCTAAGAGCAATATCACTTGATACAGACTTCTTGAGCTATCTACTTCACAGACTCAACTACAGAAATATTTGCATTTATTCACAAAAATATATACAGTCATCCCTTGTTGTCCACAGAGGATTGGTTTCTGTGGGTACACTTGTGGGTACCAAAATCTGAGGGTGCTCAAATTTCTTACATAAAATGGCAGCAGAGTTTTTGCATATGACCTACGTCCTCACATATAATTTTTTTAAAATTTAAGACCATTATGGGACCAGGATGCAATGGTTAATGCCTGTAATCCTAGCACTCTGGTAGGCTAAGGCAGGTACATCACTTTAGCTCAGGGGTTTGAGACCAGCCTGAGCCAGAGTGAAACCCTATCTCTACTAAAAATAGAAGAATTAGCCATGTGTGGTGGCACATGCCAATAGTCCCAAGCTACTTTGGAGGCTGAGGCAGGAGGATTGCTTGAGTCCAAGAGTTTGAGGTTGCGAGCTATGATGTCACAGCACTCTACCCACAGTGACAGAGTAAGACTATGTCTACATACACACAATGGGTATATAAACATTTTGGTTACATGGATTGCTTTTGTTCAGTTAAAATAAAATTATGTGTGCTTATCATCAATATAGCATGCATTATAGCCATTAGGTGTGGATTTACCCCTCCCCTTCTACTCCCTCCACCTGCTTGGTTTCTGTGTTGAGTTTTACTACCATCTGTACACTTGAGTGTTGATTGATTAGTTCCAGTTTAATAGTGAGTACATGTGTTTGTTTTTCCATTCTCGTAATACCTTGCTTAGAAGAATGGTCTCAGTTTCCATCCAGGTTGTTAGAAAAGGTATTCACCTTTTTTAAATGACTGAGCAGTACTCTATAGTATACATATACCACATTCTATAAGTTCACTCGTGTATTTTTTTTTTTTTTTTTTTTGAGACAGAGTCTCACCTGGTCACTCTCAGTAGTGTGCCCTGGCATCTTAGCTCTCCACAACCTTAAACTCTTGAACTCAAGTGATTCTCCTGCCTCAGCTCCCAAGTAGCTGGGACTATAGGTTCTTGCCACAACACCCGGCTATTTTTAAAGACAGGGTCTTGCTCTTGCTCAGGCAGGATTCACTCATGTATTGATAGGCACTTGGGTTGATTCCAACATCTTTTTTTTTTTTTTTTTTTTGAGACAGAGCCTCAAGCTATCACTCTGGGTGAAGTGCCATGGCATCACAGCTCACAGCAACCTCCAACTCCTGGGCTCAAGCGAGTCTCCTGCCTCTGCCTCCCAAGTAGCTGGGACCACAGGCGCCCGCCACAACGCCTGGCTATTTTTTGGTTGCAGTCATCATTGTTGTTTGGTGGGCCCGGGCTGGATTCAAACCTGCCAGCTTAGGTGCATGTGGGTGGTGCCTTAGCCACTTGAGCCACAGGTGCCAAGCCTCAACATCTTTATGATTGTGAATTGTGCTGCAGTAAATGTTCAAGTACACATGTCTTTTTGATAAAGGAATTTTTTTCTTTTGGGTAAATACCCAATAGTGGGATTGCTGAATCAAATGGTAGTTCTACTTTTAGTTCTATTTTCCACAGAAGTTTACTAGTTTGTAGTCCCACCAGCAGTGTATAAGTGTTCCTTTTTCTCATATCCATGCTAGCATCTGTTGTTTGGGACTTTCTGATAAACACCATTCTCAATGGAGTTAGGTGCTATCTCATTGTGGTTTTAATTTGCGTTTCCCTGATGATGAGAGGTGTTGAGTATTTTCTCATATTTTTATTGTCTATTACTCTGTCTTTGGAAAAGCTTGTACTGGCTCAGAGCCTACAGCACAGTCGTTAATGGCGCTGGCCACATTCACTGAGTGTTTGAACCCAGCCAAGTTCGAACCTGGCCCAGGCCAGCTAAATAACAGTGACAACAACAACAGAAAAATGGCTGAGCATTGTGATGGGCACCTATAGTTCCAGCTACTTGGAAGGCTGAGG